AAAAGCAAACAGGCAATGTGAATCCAAAGAGAACAGAGGTCTTTTTCTCTTGGTCCACTTTCTGTTCGATGAGTTTGGTTCATGTGAAAACACCCTTAGAAACGCACAGAATATGGTAAACAAGATTCCAAATATACACACTACATTAATTAAACTGGTTACACTGAACCAAACACAGTGCTGATGACTCCATACTACTCAGTTACATATTAGCATTAAATCAAGTGTCTTAATGATATTATAATGAAGAAAAATATCAGAACAGATCCACAGGGAGCTGTGCTCAAATTATTTTCCAGTGAGTCATTCCTTAAGATGAAACTTATGAAATGGAAATTAAACTAAAATGAAACTTAAATATGTTAAATATGATATTGATCAAGTGATACCCAGCTTGGGTAAATGAGATGTTTAATATACACTGAAAGCTGCCATAATTTAACGCGACTCAGTTGATCTGCAAGCTATGCATCTTTAAACACCATCGTATCGCATTTCCTAATGTTTTATCACCATCATGCCGTGTCTTCTGCACCAGCACAACAAACCATTTTTTTATACTAATGCACACCTCACATTCCAACACATATGTGGAGCAAAGCATGCATAGCCTGCAGAAATATTATATTATTTTAGCAAGAGAGGAAGCTCAGTTTACATTATATACTATACAGGTCACCTAAAAATATCATCACAACATATAACCTGTATAGCATAAGCAATATAAATGTCACAGCATATTTTTAAAGATACTTAACTGAAAATTACTTACAGCTTTCTCATTTTTATTTCTTTTAAAATCTGTCTGTGGTTGCTCCCAATACTCATTTTTAAAAAGTTTTTAAATATGGTTAAATTGGATAAGTTCTTGTTTTGCCACTTTTGTTTGAATCTGGACCAAATCACTTTAAGATGTTACAAGCCTGTCAATAACCAATTATAATACTACATGACATGATTCTTGCAGAAACTTCCAGGTGTCTGTGTGAAACTAACAGCATGCTGCAATAAAACAATTATCAGCATTACTTACATGGAGGAGTAAGACGCTCCTTGCAAAGGCAAAAGCATAAAATCAACAACAAAACACAGGCTTCTGCTAATGAGGGTGAGCTTTTTATCAAAGATGGCATTGCATCATGTGATTGTTCTGAAATAATGCATGACAATGTGACAAAACGGTCACTATTCACACCCAGCCCCCATATTCACAACACGCGCACACACACACACACACACACACACATACGCACACATACGCACACACACGCACACACACGCACACATACGCACACAGGTTTGTAATTATCTCTCCATTCATTTCTATGGGGAAAACACTAATCCCAACATGACGACCTTAACCCCTACCCAGCCCTAACCTTACCAATAAGTAACCAAACAAAATAAGAGACTTTTGGCTTTTTTTAGTTTTTTGATTGCATTCACAGAACTTTGCGGGGACCTGAAAAATAGTCCCCACAACATCAGGTAACAGGTTATCACACTGTGGGCAACACTTGGTCTCCACAATGTACTATAAACATAATCCACACACACATTCTCATACACACACATGTTTGTAATTATATCTTTGTGGGGACTCTCCATTAATTTCTATGGGGAAAACAGTAATCCCAACACGATGACCTTAATCCATACCCAGACCTAACCTTACCAATAAGTAACCATACCAATAAGTAACCAAATACAAGACTTTTGGCTTTTTTTTTTGTTTTTTGATTGCATTCACAGATATTTGTAGGGACCTGAAAAATGGTCCCCATAATGTCAAAATAACAGGTTTTTATGACATTGTGGAGAACACTTGGTCCCCACAAAGTAATATAAACATAATCCACACACACAGTCTGCAGTTTACAAGTATCTGTTTCGCTGTTCTCGGCGTGGCACAAACTGAAAAAGCTCTTGCCACTTGCCCAGTACAGTTTCATGCTCACTTCCTAGCAATATATGGCTGGTGCATTTTCACACAGGTTTTAGGGGCTGGAGTCACTGCACTGCAACAGTATATCTAAAGGAAACAGAAATGTATGACTGGCTGCCCAGGGCAATGGAAACCCACTGAGAGATATCTGTCAGCGTCAGGTCTGCTATTTTTAAATCCAGATTCCCATTGACACATGGATATTTTGGAGTTGTGCCGCATGATTCTGAAAAAGTACATTTAAAAAAACTGTTCAGATAGACATTTTTATGCAATGCTGTAGCCGAAAAACAGCAGGCGGGCGGGTGGCAGGAAATCCAGAGAATAGGATGTTATGGGGTGTCGTCTTTCTGGAAGATACATGCACACACATGCATACACATACACAATTGGTCTGCAGTCCTTGAACTAAGCCAGCAAGACCCACTTCCGGGACAAGCAATACAACAAATTTATCAGTCAAGCAAAAAAATCGAAGCAGTGTTTTCCTGACAATACAAAGCAGAACAGAATTAAAGGTGAAAGTGTTCAGATTTTAATAATCTCGTAAGCACAACTTCAAGGCAGGTTCATCTTCTGTTACTTGATGTAGAAGATGAAAGGGAAACTTTAAGTTGTTTGCAATTATTTAAATCTATTTCAGCGCACACACGCGCGCGCGCGCGCGCTCTCTCTCTCACACACAGAGTGAAAAGTGCTAAATCAAATTTCCAGATAAAGATAAAACCACAGCGCTCGATTAGCACATGTGATTGTCAAGGTACAGCAATATTAGTTTGCTGTAAGATTCAGGACTGGTCGCTGTCGCCCGTGTGAAGCATAACACATAATCTAGACGGTCTGAGGCACTAAGCCCAGATGAACGGTGAAATCACAGACCTCCCGGCCTTGATCATCGTATTATCCGAATTGAAAAGAAAGGTAACATGTTAAGTAACTACCCCCAGTTATTGTCCCAGCCAGACAGACATTTTATTTATTTATAACTAACCTCCATTATGATAAATAAATCCCCAGGTAGCGCAAAACAATTTACAGTACATTTGTTTACTGTAAAGCATTAATTTTATTTTAGACACATTCGTGTGTATCCCAGCTCAGACTTGTGCCACTAATTATTAACCAAAAAGACTTTTTTTTAAAAAAACAATAGGCTAGGTAGGTAAAGCCAGGTAAGCTAGCCAGCTACTTTGATGTAACTTACTAACCACAACAAACAAAATATATTTTTTCCTTACTTTTTCTAATGCAGAGAGAACAGACCACGATTGAGTTAAGTGGTGAGACTAGTTATTAGTTACTCTTTGCTGATTATCGTTACTAGATCTGAAGCCAGCGACCAGTGCTACGCAACTACATCAGCAGCTGCCAGAGGGTTTTACACGCCTAGATCCTCAAGAAGGCCTATCATTTAGTCAGGTTGACATGACACTACTGGTGATAGTTAAACACTTTAACTAGCAATTTATAACATCCATACACATCGCTAACAGTAACAAGGCGCACGCAGCCCGTCCCCGCGGACGCCTAACAAGTCATGAAAAGGTAAAGGCTCACCTTTCCGCGTTACTTGCACGAATATGACGTAGCTTTACACATAAACCCGACGCTTATACTGGCCGATTACATTATTCCATTTTTGTTTCTATTATTTCTTATCGTAGACACTTCGCTAACATGTTCGAGCGCCTTCGGCCCAGTGGGTTGTGTGTGAGTCATGGGACCCGGCGGTGAGCGATTGGTTGCTTCGGCTGTTAGTCAAGACATCCGGTGACGTTGCAGAGGCTGCACGCGATTGTTCCCGTAAGTCTCCGCCCCGTTCATAAAAAATGTAAAGAAAAAAAATCTGCGTTCAATGCGTGAGTAATTTGGAGCACAGGTCGTAGTCGTATTGTAAAGCCGGATTAAAGCAGAAAAGTTATATATTTTCATAACATGCGCAAATATACTCCATATGCATTTCAGTGAAGTTTTGCCACTTGTTTTACACAGCAGTGCCGTCTCGCGTTAAACACAAAGACGTACGTAATCTGAAGACATTTTCGGTACAGTGTACAGTTAACATACATGGTGAAAACTAATAGCAAAGCTTTATTTGCCAATAATAAGATTGGAGGTTGCAGTTTGCTCGTAGCAAGCAAGCGGTTGTCCCATGCACTTGGTTAACTGATATAGATTTTTGACGCTGAAAACATCGTTCTTTATTTCATGTCACAGAAATAAATCCCGGTAGGCTATATAGCAAAGAAGGAAAATCCCACTTGAAATCCTGAAACGAAACTGACGATGAGTTACTGGAATACTGCGTCTTGGCACAAAATCAATTTCCTGGCATTCCGGTCACCGCTTTCCTTTAAACGCGAAATAAATGGAAGTCGTCCTGGAAATTTGAATTCTGTGGATAACACTTGATTTTTGTATGATCGTAAGGAAATATAATTATTCTATTTTCTAATGTTGTTTTAAATATTTCCGTTTTATAGGAGATCTTAATGAATTCATATTAACTTTAAAGTAGTAAAAAAAATCACATCACAAACTAACATTTGTTTCAATTTATTTTCAGTAGAAACCAGTAAGGTTTTATATAAAATACATCAGTGTTCGGAACGAAAGACTGAGGACTATAAGTGGATTTTTGACTTACTCTTAATCCTGGGAAGGGAAAAACAACATATTATGGTCATCTTTGGAAGTCTTTCAGCCATTTTTACAGCTTTAATACTAATATTTATTACTGCTGTTTAGAAGCTTGCGGTAATACCCAGTTCCTTTAGCCAGCTACAAAGGAGAGGATACCCGTTAAGCCTAAAAATGCTGGGATGAGAATGTGCGCAGTGCCATTAATCTCTTCAAACTAAAACAACCATCCGCCCAACGTCCAACTCCTGAACCACGAGTGTCGCCGGGAGCTTGGATCTGGCAACATAACGCACGAGGGAGATTATTTGTAGCAAATTATTTTCCTGCATCAGGGGATGGACGTTTTTTAGTATAATGTAAATATTTGGGGCATTTATAACAACCAACAGAGATGCATTTTTAAAAAAAATCATTTAATTTTTTCTTTAATGAATGAACTTTTTGTGTTTAACATAGAAAAACTTACATATAGCTTTTAAGTTTTTTAAAGAACCTTTTCACTTGGTTTATTTAACAAGAAACATCTAATTCAAGTTTAACTTTGATCATCTACTGAATTTGACTGCCAGTGGGACTTTTATAGTCCAGTGTCTTTGTAGTCAAATTTCACATTTTTGTGCTAAAAAAGTGATTTTTTTTTTGAGGTGTGAAAATTCAGATTCTAAAATGTTTTACATTTTATTGATTCTTACATAAAATCCACAAAACACCTTAAAGAAACTTAAATACAGGAAGTGAAAGAAATTAAACTGTAAACAGTACGTGCCTTTGGACATGGAATATCACCATGTTAAAAATCTGCAAAAATAGGATATTTAAATAAACTAAGATAAGTTTTGCAGCGGGAAATTTGGCATAATTAGTAAAGACTGGAATATTCAAAGACAGAAACCCTTTCTGAGTCAATAAAATCTAGTTAATATATAAATGACAGTGAAGGAACGTGGGTGTGCAGGGGAACAGCTTCTTACTATGATGCTCATGGCTTGTGTGCAGCATATCTTTAAATCCTGCATTGCATTGATAGGAGACACAGCCGTGGGTCTGATTAATTACCCATCAGCCCTCACACCACCGCCAGCCCGAGGCGGCGGAGAGGCTTCAGGTTTTGTCCACTCTTTGGGGTTCAGAAGGGGATGAGGTGCGTTTCCTCCGGGACGGGATGGCAGGCAAGACGTGGACGCTGCGTAGGAGGTCTCCTGTCTGGATGGGCAAGAAGGAGCAGAGTGACTGGCTCTGAGGCATGCCGATCCGGAGGGACCTTCCAGCCGCGGGGACGGGGGGGGCAGCTGTGCTCCGGCTCAGGGAATTCAGAGGCATGGATCTGGATTTCTTCACACCCTGGGACACTTGGTCAGGAGGCAGGGAAACTGCAGGCATGAATGGGGCGACCGTCTTACTTTAGCAGCAGACATAATGGGAAACCCGGCCGGGACGGAGGCAGACTTACACCTGTGCGTGCAGTGGTCGCGTATGGGAGCCAGGCTGTTCCGTGTGACAGCTGTGTCCCTCAGCTTCAGCCTATCCAGGGGAAGTAAGTGCATATTCGGAGCTAAGAAAGAGGAACATAAAGAAACACTCGGAATGTATCCATACAGTACACTGTGTTCATCTATTATATGTCTCTCTAGGGCTGGGGGATGTTGCGCACAGTGATTAAAGCAAGTTCACCCACGACAGAATGATTTACTTATTTATGTAGTTTTTTTTTTTATGTGGTGGTATGGTGGTGCAGTGGTTAGCATGGTTGCCTCACACTTCTGGGATCTGTGTTCAAGTCTCTGCTGTGACTCCATGTGTGTAGAGTTTGCATATTCTGCCTATGTTGTACTTTGAGTACTTAAGTTTCCCCCTACAGACCTAAAACATACTAGAGTTGATTGGAGTTACCAAATTGTTCATCAGTGTGATTGGTCTTTGAGTATGCCCAGCAATGGGTTGGTGTCCCATCCTGCCTTGTGCCTATAGGTTCTGGACCCCCTGCAACCCTCATTAGGACAAGTGGTTTCAGAAAATGGATGGTTTTATCTGAAGCAACATACATTTTTGAGAAAGCAGGGTCAGACAGTCCCTGGAGCAAGTGGGGGATATGGGCCTCAAGTTGCTCAAGAGTGAAATCACTCTGCTGCCTCTAAGATTTGACCTTGCAATCACAAGTACAGGACCCTATTCCACAGAACCAGACACTGCTTCAATGTCTCTCACAAGATTCACACATATCCTAACCTGAACTGCATGTCTTTGTACTGAGGGAGGAAACAACATGAACTTGGGGAGAATATGTTACCCCACACATTATAGAACCAAGGTGGGACTCTAAACCACAACCTAGAGCAACTCTGACCCAAATGGGCCAAACGCAAATTGCACAACATTAGGCTTTGGCCCATTTTTTTGTCCAGTAGTGTATTCATACATCCCTAGGTTACAAACAACATCCATTCCCTAAATGTGCCTTTAAGTTGGTCTGTAGGCAAGTTGGAAAAATAACATAGTAATAATAATTATAATAATGATACAGCAATAATAATGGTAATTAGGCCTACATACGGTACTGTACCACTAATCAACAAATCACTGAAGGCACACAATGTTTGCACAAGCATCACAAAGTAGTATGTGTGTTCATTATCACAAACTGCTGTATGGAGCCTGAAATTTTTAAATAATAGGCTTTATGGCAGTCCATCCGTAAGTACGAGCCCAAAAATTGGACATTTTTTTTAACCTGGGGACTGTCTGAAATATAAATAAATAAAGGAAGCAAAATACAGGTTTCTCAACCTTAAGACAAACATAAGCCCTTCTTATCATAGACAGAAAGAAGTACAGAGACACATCCTATAAGTGAAAATGACTACCTGTCTGATCTTGTTCATTAATGAACATTTTGCAGATTTATTTGACATTTAAATGAGGATACTCTATGTGACACATCTTGGAATGATGTGTCACAGTCGTGGAATTGAGCAGTAATAAACAATGAACACTGTCACTGTAAATATTTGCTTTTGTAGTTATTCGAGGCTGAGAAACCAATAAGCGTGATGCTAATTCTAAGCGCTAGCATGACAACACTGTCCCCACGTTCTTCATCGCTGCGTAAGACATGTGCTGCTTCCACATACTACCAAGTCAACCATGCAGGACCACTGAGGGTCTGCAGAAGGGTGAGAAGAAGAGGTTCATGGTTCAAATAACCCACCCCCGCCATCCCCACCATGGAAGAAACAGAGCATGCTAGATGAAAACTCACTGTGAAGAGATGCTTGCATCACAGGTGTTAAAAAAAAAAACCCAAAGCCAATGTGGCTGCAGCAGAGTTAGCAGATACACACATACGTGCAGTTTCTGCTGCTTCACGACAACCACATGTGGGCTCCATCATGCTGCAGGCCTTTGCACGCTGCACGAGATCCTACGCTTCTGTGTAATTGTCACCCTGTGCACTATAGCTTCTCAGAAGCCGAAAGCTCCCGTCAAATGACATACGTGAGAGCCCCAGACACAAGCGACTGTCAATTGTGGGCCGAGGTGTTAAGTTGATTTTTGTGCGCGACCTTTTGGAGGGAAATTCACAGGTGCGCAGAACCTCTCGACATTTGTGAGGAAGTTCGAGGAAGGCCGGTACGCTGGCAGAGCATATTCCGTTCACGCTCACAGCTACTAGACAAGCAGCACGTTTATACCATTCTGCAAAACCTTGGATACCATCATCGCTTCAGTCCACAGTTTGTTTGTCTAATTGGCACAAATATTTGTCAAAGGCAGCATCTGAAGCTTAGTGGATTGAGGCTCAGTGTGGGATCAAAGTCTACCACCTCAGACTCGAGATTTATTTTATGTACTGACATACAGAGCTGTGGTGTGGTTCTTTATTCTTCTGTTATTAAACTTCCTGTAGTGATGCATAACACTTTCAGATATCACCAACTGGTTTCCTGAGAACACCTTTCAAGTTCTCTTAAGGTTTTAAGGTTTAAACAAAATGCATCTAGAACACAAACAGCAGTGTGCATTTGATCTGGATTTCGGTTGTATAGACATACAATTATAGCAGTTTTAATATTTTATACATTTGTAAATTTGCCAATCGAATTAAATTAAATCACCAGCTGTCGATGTACAATTAAACTTAACATTACAGCTTATTGCGTATTATGGATAAATATCTGGTCTGCTATGTTAATGATATGTCCCCTTGTCAATCTCTGACGGATTCTCAGTGCCATTAGCCAATGTTTTTTTTTTTTTCAATGGAAAGGAACCATATTTGTCAGCAAAGGGGTCCACCCTGCCATCTGCTTAACTGTGGTTTTCATACCGCCACTTATAACAGGAAGCAGAGAGTGAAGGGAAAACACACAGTAACATACTTTCCAGCCACCCGCTAAAAAACAATGGTTACCGCTAACAGGACGCCAAGTCTACTCTGAAGTATGACTTTGCTGTTTATGTTTTATTGTTGTCCTAAATGTTCTTGCTCCGATGGGTTTCTTACCCAGATTCCTAAAGTATAATGTCTCTTGTATACCACTGCTCTGTGTGGCTGGGGGTTTTGTGATCTCCACGTGTCATGTGGATTTCCTCTGGTTACCTAGGTTTCCTCCCGCAGTCCAAAGACGCCTGCAATTTATGACTGTGTGTGACTGTGTGTGTGTGAGTCCCGCCCAGGGTGACCCCAGCCTTGCGCCCCTGCTGCCTGGGCTAGGCTCCAGCCCCACTCAAAACCCTTTCCAGGATCAGTGGTTGGAGGATGGATGGATGGATTTATTTCATTACATAAAATAGATTTATTTGACATATGCAGTTGAAAGTGAAGGCACAGAAGGAAAGTAAAATAATAGAGCAACTAGGAGCAAACCCATCTCACCTTGTTCATTTTTCTGCACATATGGCATTTGGTTGCAGCATTTGTGCACATCCAGGCCACTGGGCTTCTCCTGTAGTAATCCAGCCAGCAGCTTATCTGAAGGCGGGGCAGTCCATGCTTTGTGTGACAGTATCTGACTGGACTCCGATTTCCATGAATCACTGGGCCGTGCCTGTCCTTTTGGCCTGTTGTCAAAGAGGTCATGCTCACTTCTGCTTTTTTGAGACCTGTGGGCAAAGTGGTGAGCCATCTGCCCTGCTCGGCTGCCTTCTACAGCGCTCTTGGAGCCGGCCAACAAAGAGTTTCCCAGAGTGATGGGTGGAAGACTTTGAGTTCTTATTGGAGGAAGGCCCTTGTACTCCTTCCCCATTCGATCCTCCAAAAGATGAAGCTTGTGAGTGTCACTGGATCTTTTTCTGGCATCTGAGCTTGTCTCTGGCTGCTCCTTCGCAGATGAGTCCATGATGGAGTCGAACATGGTGATGATGTCATCCACCTCCGAGGTTTCCTCTTTCATGCAGTGATCTCTGTTCTTCTCCCTCTGCCTCCCTAGTTGAGGCTCCTTCCGCTTCTTGCAGGAGAAAATCTGGTTGAACATGCTGAATTTCCCTTCCTTCTTCTGACACTGGTCGCTCTTCAGGGGGTGCAACTTTCTGGCTGCCTCAGATCTGCGCACAAACAGCATTTTCATAATACGTGAAAATTATGTCTTTTCCAAATATCTCTTCAGACACAAACAGCCATTTCTAATATGATACTTTGGATGCCAGTTGCAGTAAACGACTACGCATTCTGTACTTTTCATCGCGTCATGTTTATGCTTAAAATAAGAATGTTGGACTTGCGCTGCGCCACAAAACTTTACTAATAAAGCAAATTGCAAGGAGGAATGACACAATTCACTGCATTTTCTTTGTTTATTAGGGAAAACATCAGCATGAAGCGCTTCAAACCTGCTGTCAGCTGTGAGGAGCTTGATGCATGCCGTGTGTCCACAGTACATAGCGTACGTAAGGGGGGTGTTCTCGTTTATGTCCCGGGGGTCAGGCTCCACGCCCAGCTGTAGCAGAGCCTGGACACAGTCAGCCTTCCCTGCTGCAGCGGCCCAGTGCAGGGGGGTTCTGGAGGAAGGGCAAGAGGCAGGAAGCATTGGGTGCGGGAGGGGGGCAGGGGGTGTACCAGGCTACACATAATCTAGACCAGTTAGATTAAGGGGTAACACTTTACTGAAAGCAGTCATATAAATGCATTATAGATACCCTCATAATGCATTATAATGATTCATAAAGTGTTATAAACACGGCTATATTTTTAAAAAGGCATAACACATTATAGCCATGTTTATTATGCATTATTACTGCCTTATGAAGCTCTCATCTATAATGCACTACAAATACTTTCATAATGCAGTACAAAGCATCGTTAATGCTTATACTAACCATTATAATACATTGAAGGTATGAATCTATGAATGTATAATACATATTTATGTACGTATTTATAGTGCATTATAGATGAGAGCTTCACAGAGCATTCATAATGGATTATACAAATGGCTATAATGTGTTATGCCTTTTTATAAACAGTTATAGCCATGTTTATAATACTTATAATAATACTTATAATGCATTATAGTATTATAAGTATTAAAGTGATACCAGTATAGGTTTCTGTGGTTCCTTTGAGGGACTTTGTTTTAAAGCATATTATTTTGTCCGACATCCTGTAATATTTACTTCCTATTCCCGTTAACAGATAATGGGAAAACTAAAATCACTCCGCCCACATTCAAATAACTGAAAGTGAAGGTGCAAAAATGGGATCTGAAATCGACATAATGAATGGCAAACTATTTTGGGTTCCATTATCACCCCCATGGGAACATTGTCACAGATCAATGATTTCAGGTTTTTTATGTCATTGTGTAAATGGGTAATGAAAATACAACTCATTTTGGTAGCAGCCTCTGTCAATGACATACATATTGTAAATAATCACCGTAATTCCACAATTTTTCATCCATATCACATAACTGCTTATCCAGTACAGGTTCATGATGACCTGGACTCTATCCCAAGCAGCACATGGTACAGGGTAGGGGATACCCCTGCATGGGATGCCAATCAATCACAGGGCACAGTTACATACTATAGGCAAATTATACACACTCATCCACCTGCCCCCTGCACCCACCAGGGTATCCCTGCCCTTTCAGATCCCCTGCTGGTAAGCAGAGTAACCAAACATGGAAAGCTAGTGGTTAACCTCTCATCGACGTCGAGAGCCTGCAGGTTGGTGTCGGGGACGGCGGCCAGCTCATAGATGATGTCACTGAAGCCGGCAGCGGCGGCGATATGCATGCAGGTCTTGCCGTTCTCGTCGTCGTAGTTGATGACTGATGCCCCCAGGTGGAGATCCAGGATCAACGAGCACATGTACCTGCTCCCACTCTGCAGATGGGGGGAGAATCAACAACCTCAAACACTCAGGGCCAAGGTATCGCTTCTCAGTGCTTGATTTGCCATTTTGGTCAGTTTTGATAACCAGTAAGTAATAGATGGATGCTGTATGGGCCTACAGCAGGACCAGTGACCTGTTACTCGACTGTTTTCTAAAAGATTAACTGGCAGCACAGACAAGGAAAATCGAGTCAAGTCAGTTAGGTCTTTAATGTCATTTTTAACCATACACAGTTGAGTACAAAGAACTGGCAGTCTTCGGTATAAGGCAGTCTCTTACCTGGACAGCCCAGTGCAGGGCAGTCTTGAAGTCTTTGTCCACAAGCGTGGGGTCTGCACCCTTCTGTAAGAGGGCCTGTACATGTTGGGGCCGATTGTGGAAGGACGCCCAGTGCAGAGCCGTCATTCCCTGCATTCCCAATGATAATTACCAAACCACGTCAACAGTGCATTTCATTATGCGTGGGAATCTCAGACCTGCTAAACTTCAGCAACTCTTATGACTTATGACACAATTTCCTCATCTGATTGTGGCCACACAAAAGCCACAAACATTTCTAGCTATGATAATCAACTTCTCATATGCAATATAATATACTGTATTCATGTCAGATGGAATCCCATCCAGTGTGTCTCCATGTCCTGTCCAGGATCTCTCCAGGTTTAGGATCTCTGTACCCTCCAATGCATAGGCAAAGATTTGGGGGGGAGATATAATATAATAATATCACATGTAATGCCTTGTTTACAAAAAACACATATGATTGACATATCCCATTACATAATTTAAAATATTTTTCTTACAGTTTTTATTTGGAGAAGCCTTACCCTCCGTTAAAACGGTTTATCCTCAATGCCAGCTCCGGCAGGCAGACACTCACTTCCAGACCCACGAGTAAAGAGACGCGGTGAGTACAGAAGCGCAGTATGGCTATGTCTGTAAACTTAACTCATTGAAGACCTCGTAAGTATCATAACCAACAGTTACTCAATAAAAGGCTATGTGAAATGGTGGAATTTAATTGTCTCATGTTGATTCAGTTTCACAAAGATTATCTTATTTGATCGTGCAAACTGCAACTAGCTTGGTTAGTTGACAGCACAGCACAAATAGCAGTGTCAGTCATAATTCTCATCCCACTCTGTCTGCTGTGAGGGCAAAACAATGAGCAAGAAGTCTGTCAAAAAACGGGGCCAGATCTGCCATTTATTTAGAAAATGCCATAAAGTCAGTAACTCAGTTACCAGAAACTCAGAATCATTTAGTTCACAAATAGTGTTGTGTTTGTGAGAGAGATAGGGTGCAGGAGAGTGACAGGGGCATGATAGTGGACCCTGGGGTGAGGTCATTAATCCACAATGAATGGCCTGACATTCGTAGCGAAATCTCACAAATTGTGCTTAATTTTATTAATTGCCGAAAATTCAGCATATGTAACGCAGGACTTTACACACTTAAACTACCATATTAGTGAAGATGAATAACAGTAAAATGGAAAGAAAATTTTCACTTTATATATTGTAACTATAACAGCAATAGTTTACGGGGGAAAAAAATGAACTTGTATACAGCGCGACTACAGTATCGCCTTATAAGGTGATGCGACATCACACCTCCAAAATACCCATCCCCCCCGATATGAAACCGATATGATATGAAACCTACGCCCCTGCGCCAATGGACAAGCAGTTAAGGGAGGTGGACAGATGGATGCATATAGTTATCTTTAGCCATATTTGTCTTGACCAAATAGTGGAAGCAAATACAACATCAATCTATCAGCTAAATGCAATGAACAAAAGTGTAAATATTGAGGTTCATTCACCATTTCATTCTACCCCAAAAAGCAAAATAACTAATCCCAGTAGTTTCATTTCATATACAGGCCAACTTGTTTTTTTATGGATACTTGTTTTTTTTATTTGAAATAGCTAGCTGTAGCATAATAGCTGTCTCATAATAATTAAGTCATTTACTTGGGACAAAAACATTTTAGCTTAAAAACAGAAAGCTAGCTGTGTGTACATAATTAAGGGACTTAGCTAGCTAGCATGCTTAATTAGCCAAATCTTGGAAATTTCTAAAGTTCTATACTAGATCAAGTTCATGGGCATCAGATCGAAAGGATTCTGCTTTTCTCACATTTGAATTCACTTTAGCACTAATTATAATTTCATAGACAGGTTTGTGAATCATAGTGTGATTAGCATATATGATGATTATTCACAATAATTCTGTCACTGTGCTCTCAATGAGGTTTATTATTCCGTGTCTTGACAGCATTATCCAAAAACAGATTTCCTGTTACCAGTTCATAGCATTTATTATTTTTTATTACCTCATTGTCCTGGTGGTTTATTTCGCACAGTGTTGATTGCTGTAGTAGAACAGCCATGAGCCTGAAACAGAAAGTTAACAGTTCAGTAACTGCTTGCATACTTGCAGTCTTATTCTTCCACAGAAACGTTCAACAGCAAGTTTCACAAAGTACTATTCTGCATTTTAATCAGAATGCGATGATGCCGCCTTGCACTTTCCACGAAAAGAAGAGGAAATGCCCAGTAACAGCTGCCAGGGTTCAGATTAGAGCAAAGGTCTCTGGTTGTCATGGGGATCGCACACTTCTCCTAGTGATCTGGATCATTAGAACCCACACAGCCAGCAGAGCTCTGCAACATGGGCAGCAGCTATCAAATGTGTGTTCATTCCCAAGGCAGATCCAGAACAGAAACACCCCTATAATGGCCAGGTCAGTTGCCGGAAAATTACTCCCCAACATATTCTCAGGAGATAAGTGCTTCCCGGCCAGTGCCAGTTTACCCTGCCTATATATTTTCAACTGCTTTCATCTTTTTTTAAATAATGCTCCACCTTTTCTGCTTTACTCCTGGTCTTCATAACAAAGTCATTCCTGACAACAATAACTGATTTGACACACTTGCTCCCTAGTCTCAAAATAAGGGTCAGAGGTCACTGTAGGACAGGTAGGATAGGCTGCGTACCTGAGGTCGGTCTCAGCGGTGGCAGCATGGAGGGGAAGCCGTCCGTTTTTGTCGGGGATGTTTTGCTTCGCACCGTTCCGGAGAAGGCAAACACAGCCCTCAAGCCACCCCTGTTAACGGAGGATAACACAGGGGCATATCTGCGCTTATTTAATCGACATGGGAAGGTGTTCCCAGAAGGGTGCGCATCCACCTCATGGAATCAGTCACTCACATCTCCTTTTCTAATCATCCACCCATCTTATAACCAATTATCCTGGTCAGTGTCACGGTATAAATGCAAAAATACTGTCAAAATGATGCTGCATACAATTGAGTTTTGCACATATTTTCCAGTATTAGGTAATACACTACATTTAGTTTCACATATTCTAAAAATATGTCCAGTTTCATTAAGCAACATTATTTGCATTGCCGAACAAAGCATAATGTGGCAGCTGTTGCATAATAAAACTAAATTATTAAACTAAACTAATATTGATTTACTGATGATGGAAGCCTTTAATGCTTTTGGCAGACATACTGAATCATTACTGCCATTAAACACATTTGTTATACAGTATGTCACCCCCCAAGCCCCCACCCCCTATCACAGTCAGCATGCAATGATTTCACTGGGAAGTGTGAAGACCTCCCCCCTTCCCCTCCAACACACACACACACACACACACACACAGATCTACTCATGGGATTCAAAAACACAACAACTGGCCCTGCTGTAATTTATACACGTTTTTTAGTAATGGACAGGATGGGTCTAGAGTCTCTAGACAGAGTGTACTCAGGCTGTACCAAGTATGTTGCCAGAGAGAGGGAGGTCCTTCCGCACGCGTCCTGAGTGTTAATGGATGCTCCCATCTTCAGTAAGAGTTTCACCGTGTCCACCTGCCGGCCTGAGACTGCGTGCATCAGTGGCGTGGAGCCTGCGGATCAAAAGCAAATTCAGACATGGGGGACATGGTGCAGGAAATAGGTCTAAAATGTTAGTTATTTAGTAAGGTTCAACTAGCCAAGAATACTGGGTAATGGTCCATCCCTTCCCCCAACTTCCGCTTATCCAGTACAGGGTCACTGTTAGTCTGCGACTGGTCTCTGGATACACAAGGCAGAAAGCAGGAGATACCATGGACGAGATGGCAGAATTAATTAGTGGTCAGTCTTTAGCGGGTGCAAAGAGGAATGATGAACCAGGGCCGAGAATAAGGACAACCTCTGAACGTTGAGTTATTGCAAGTTATTATTGTTCTAAATTGAATTTATAGGGCTTGTTTTGGCTTAGTTGACGCTAATAATTGAAATAGCAATCGGCATTAATTACTCCGTTATCGATCTCTGTGTGACCATCCCAGATGGTACACTTTGTATTTGAAGTAATTCCTAAGAATGACAAAAAAGCAACAAGTTCAACAAGCTTTTGCCCTGAATGTACCACCGCAAATCAGCCATTAAGCAGTTAGCTATATAAATCAGTGGTTGTCATCTAGTTATATACTGTAGCTATGTGAACAAAGTCCATTCCCAAAAAAATGTAGTTAGCAAAAGTACAAATTCTAGGAAAGCAGATGTTTACCATTTTGGGTTGTGGCTTAGGAACCACTGCCTGTCATTGGCCTCATAATTCCTAGATACACCTCTGGCCGTTATTATTGTTTGAATAGTGGTCACAGATGAATGTTAGACAAATATACATTATTGATTAATTCTGGGATTCTGTATAAGCTGGGTTGTGCTGGCTAGCAATCAATCCCAGGTCAGCTACTTGCTAGGCAGCTATGATAAACACTATGTAACCAACGCTTATGCAATGATACACATTAAGACATTGAATTTATTACTAATTTGTGGAAACAAGTTCTGCCATTAAAAAATCACTTCAACTGGTTAAATGCACTCGATTCTAGCTAGTTAGATTTCCACTGCTGTGTTTTCTAAAATCAGTTGTGATATCTGTTTACAGACCTGCACATAAGAGTTGATTTTGTTTGTGTAGTGTAAATTTGCAGTCCCCTGCTAGGTGTACTTTAACCCCTTATGGATACGGTCTTAAGCTGGTATAGTACTTGGCTAGGTATCTATCTGACTGTATGTCGAAAGTCCCTTGCTGTCATGCTCAGGTACGTCTTGGGTAATTATTCTTAGCGTGAGGCCTAGATCTCCAGCAGTCTGGCCCTGACTTTGCTTCTGATTCACGCTTCTAACATCCACCTACATCCAAGCTGCTGCCAATTTACCTTCGCCATCACAGCATTCCAAAATGGAGGGGTCCTCGCGGATGACAGCCGTCAAAGTGTTGACGTCTCCGTTGGCGGCCGCCTGATAGACCACGTTGAGGTCAACCTCCTCCGCCGCGTCTTGGGCACAGACGCATAGAGTCACAGGTCTACTTACACGATCTAATTACGAGTCATAGCACATATGCTTCCATACACCCACAGAGTGTAGCTTTGAAATAAACTTTTAAAACCTGTAAGCGAAAAAATTACCAGTTTACGACATCCCCTGCTTGCATGTAAATATAAATGAACAAGGATCAAAGCGTATTTCAATTTTTGGAGGGGGCAGATATTTTAAATTTGGATTTGGCATCCTACATGATCTTTCCTAGTCAAGAAGATTATAGCTAGAGGAGTAAAAGTTTATTTAGCTCACTCTAATCCATATATGGGGACAAAATTATACGTTTTAAAATTTCCCATGGTGCGAAGTTAATCTGAAGATGATTGTGGGGTTGATCTAGGGATTTACCTGGGGATACAAGTGAGGAAAGTAATTGTCTGTGGTCTTAACAGGTAATTGTAGGTTTGCCTGTCTTAGTTACACAGTTTTAAATGAATCTGGTTGTAAGAGTCAAGTAGGACTCCTACAATCTCAGCAGCAGCTGTTATAATGAAATTGTCGGACAGGATCAGTCACTGAGCTGATAAATCTGCGTGCGACGCCAGCTTTCTCTTACATGGGCTGTAATGTCTGTCGTGAGGGGGCAGATTTACAGCACTAACGGATTTCCTGGCCCAGGGTCCTCTGACCATGTTACAGGGCTGCCAACTTTGGTCCAGAGGTGGAAAGTTCAGGTGCAGAAAGTAAACAGCCAGACCGGGGTTTTGTTTCAACCAACCAGCTGAATACTCTGTGAGTGTGACTCTTTATGCTCTACCTGCTGGCTGAAACAAAACCTTGGTCAGGATTTGTACTTTCTGGACCTGAACTTTCCACCTCTACTTTGGTCAGCTGGTTGTGTTAGATTTTCACCTGGAGTCTGCCCACAAATGTACATACTGTATGTAACAGTTTTATTACTGTGTAAATGGTCCGTAGGGTTTGCAAACTGCCCCAATGCTTTTGGTGTAGCTAATTTTAGGTTTACAATGGAATAATATGCATTTGCCATAAGATTACTTACATGAGCATGAGAGTGTAAAAGTGTGGGTGTCCGGCCAGATGCATCTGAGTTGGCTAACCCTGATGTTAATATGCCTCTGGCCACATCCAGCCCTATGTATGGACAGGCTGCTCACAAACAGGCCTGTCATAGATTGTGTTTAAATGTTACAGTCTGTTAGTACTCAGTGGGCTGACATACTTAACTGTAAAAGCAGCACACAATTATTTAAGAAAAATATGTATTCAGTCTATTTCCAGTGCATCAGTTTTGAGCAATTGCGTGCTGCATCACGGAATAACAGTCAGCGTTTCCATGGCGACGGTCGCCACTGACACTCCTCCGCGGTGCCTCCCCTGCGTCTGTGATTTCTGCTTAGCAGGGCGCCTTACCTTTGTGCTGATCGAAAACGGACGACGAGCTGAATTCCATGGTGAGATTGTGCACTTCTAGCCATAGATAAGCGCAGCCTCAAAGACGGAGAGCAGCCTTCATCCCGAACACACATACGTGCACCGATCACTCCTGTCCGCCGTTCCGAGGCTTACATTCAATGCATCTAGTTGAAGGCAAGGAGAGGAAAGGATGGGGAAAAGGCATCCGCTCTTGAAATAAACAGGCGACCAGCAGGCTTGAGCAAAGCTCAGCAGAGAATGGGAGGGATGGCATCGACGGCGCGGTGTGCCCCTCCAGCTGTCAGCATCTGCTCGCGGGGCCAGCACAGGGAAGCCGCAGGGACCAGTGCGACTCGGTCTGCCTGGCTGATGTGCCGTATGAATGGACTGTCTGCGACTCCACTGAGCATGCGCGGCACTACGACGCAGCCTGCTGCACGGGCGGGGGGAGGAGTCAAGCGAATTAGTATGCGCCTTAGTCACTTCATGCTCTTTTGAAGTGGCTATTTTAAGGTCGCTGTTCATGCTGGAGCCAGTGCTGTTAATCATGCTTTTTCCACTGTCAGCCTGCTAAACGTCAAGCCCCTAGAAAGGTTCATTCATGCTTCTGTCCCAGTCTGGGTACAGGAGGCAAATCCAGAAAAGCAGTGCTTACCCACAAGTTGAAGATGGTCTTAATGTGGCCATTTTAATACCAGACCATTTTGTGATTCTGATGACATAATATTATGCCCAGAGACCCAATAACATGAATAAGCAACCGGTTGATTATGACTTTATTATTATTATTTTCATAGACACGTTTTTAATAATTTCCAAGGGGAATGTGTGTTTATTTGGGGTGTGTGGACTGCTCAGCACACATTGATTTGCAAGAAGGAATCGTAGCTGTGTTGAAAAAACGGAAAAGACTACCCAATAGTGTTTTCTATTATGATGTGCCTTGTTGCCATGGTAACTCTGTAGGACATTATTTCATTATGAAAAATAACAATCAGAGATTCACTGTGGAATGGCATCAAACCAGAGTTTAATGTGAAAGCAGAAATCACATATCCAATGTGGTGCTCTTAGACGGAAATACCCACTGTAAATTAGACGTGAAAAATACATCCTAAAAGTAAAAAGGAATACCAGGCAGCAGTTTAAAAAGGTGTTATATTCCAAAGAGTGGTCTGAATTATGTATTACTTTATAGTTAATTACCATTCCATAGACTCAGTCATGGTGAATATCACAGCGTACGGTTCCCTTCCTCGCTGCTTCCATGTCACCGCAAGGGCTCACTAACACTATCAGTCCAAGAATAATCTACGGCCCATTTTATTTTTATTTTGATGCACCGCTGTTTTTGTCCATTGGGTGGCACTGTTCCACAACTTGAGACGGGCTATATCACTCCTTACCAAATTGTTGTCATTATCTCTTCGAATGACGCGGAGTAAAACGACCGAACAAAAAAGATCTCAAACAATTTATATCATTATTAAATTGTTTTGTATAATTATTCTTAAATTATTATTTTTTTACTAAAATAAAATTTCGTCATACAAATACGACTGACCAACTCGAGTAATATAATGTAGAAGTTCGATTTAATAGGATACTTAACAAAAGGAAACGGCAACTATCAGTGTGGAGCTGGGTTCGATTCGGCTCATGCAACAAATGGCTGGTTATCCGCTTCGCCCTGTTTTTGAAACAGATGAACCCTACCTCATATTTGCTCCTTAGCGACACCCACCGTTTTATTTGGTGAATAGTGCTACCTTAATTTTTCAGTCAACTGAATTCCAATTACTGTACCTCTCTACAGTAAAGGGGGGGACACCAAAATGCTAAAGCAAAATGTTTTATAATGTAATTTCTCTTCTACTCAAAAGCCTTTTCTTTAATATTGTTATAGCTCTTCATCATACCCTTAATTGTAAATTCAGCCGTCCAAAATCCTTAATTTCGTTCAGAACTGATGCCCAGCCCTGCAGTTCTGGGAAGCAGCTGATGTGCTGTGATTCCATTACTGATACCTAATCACTGATACTGGACATCACTGCAAATGACAATGTATGTAATTCCTCAGAGAAAGTACCCCATATACGAGAATAAACATAGATGAAATGGCCTGATATTGAAAGGACACTCACAGCAGGACAGATTGTTTCTTTTCCTTTATTAATTTGCTTGCATGTGTTTTCATTCCATAATGGGATCCTGCCGGGGATTCCTAAAAAAACACATTTTCTATATAGTTTGCCATCGCCTTCAGATGAGGAATATGGACGAGCAGGAATTCTTGGCGGCAGCCAGTCGAGGGTTTTCATGGTGAGTCATGTTGTCACACTGAGCGTCGCACTAATCCACCTCAGGACAGTCACGTGGCGTTTAGGACAGTCCTTGCTGTAATGCCGCTGCGGTCTCGATGAGAGAGTGACACCGGATATGTTCAACTATTGTGGGTGTCTTGCTCACACGCGGTAGGGGAGGGGCCGTGTGGATCCCTAGATACCGTCAGCAACCTCAGCCCCCCCCACAGCAAGCATCGATGCCAGTGCCCCCCAACACCGTGAGTATTTCTAGGGCCTTAAGGAACATGGACTAACTGGAATTGACTTGCTAAGTCAGCACCCCTCAGAAGCTGGTGTCCTAGGCCTCCCACCTCATATCATGGGTTGATGATTGGTAAATGGATCAGTGTTTAACCTGAGCCTCAAAGCATCATATGTACAATGAATGCCTTCCACTACTGATATCACCCTTTGTGCAAAATCTTCACCAAATTTATTTTTTCCCAGACGGATTATAGTGAACTAATAATGCAAAACCCAACCCCAAGACGTGGATCTTTTAAAATAAAAAATCTTTAGAAATTTTGTACATTTAAATCTGCGCATTTGCAGTCTACATAAAAACTTTACTGATTCTGGGGGACCAAATATGCTAATGGTGCAGTAAAAATAATTGTGACAGTGCAGGAAAGGCACATAATTTACTGACACATTCATGAATACCTTCTATCATTAATCACTGTAGCCCCCACCAGCTGTAGCCCCCATCAGCTGTAACCTCCATCAGCTGTAGCCCCCATCAGCTGCAGCCCCCATCAGCTGCAGCCCCCATCAGCTGCAGCCCCCATCAGCTGTAGTCCCCATCAGCTGTAGCCCCCATCAGCTGTAGCCCCCATCAGCTGTAACCTCCATCAGCTGACTTCATTGATGTTACCCTATAATCTTGCATTCATTCCTACATGTAATGTTCAGGTCTTGTCCCCTAAAAGCTGCCAAGTAGGCAGAGTCTCCCAGCTCCTCAGAAAGAGCTAAGCAGGTGCTGCTGTATAAATGAAGGCCGGTGAGAATTGTCCCTAAAATAGCGGCCTAGCGCAATTTTGGCAGGACTCTCAGACAAAGGGAACTATTTAAAAACTAGAGCTGAAGGAAAGACCAAGTGTCCGGGGCTTTAGTGCCTGGCTGCAAATAGATGTCCCACAATGCTGACCTGGGGCTGGGGTCGAGTCCCTGAGCATACAATCAGCTGTGACACTTGGATGTCCGTCACCCATGATGCATGGTGTCATTCATCTCAGTTTCGTGTTATAAAAATACAGCAATGCCTTGAGTTGTTTGGCGGCACAGGATTTGTGCAGGATGCGGCCTGGTTCTGTGACTTTGTCCTCGAGTGTCTGTTTTTGTGGAAGGCAAAATGGGCCCCCCACCTTTGAAGAGGGATGGGGATAGACGTGGACCCAACAGCTCCAGCTCCACCGTTTCCACTCCTGCTCGGGGGAATGGAGCTTGTATTGAGGGGGGAGACCTCTTAGCCAGCTCGCTGTGTTTATGCAATTTTTTTTTTCTGCCCGTATCAAAGGACCTTTCATCTCCATGAAGTGAATTATTAACACATTCCATTCAAGAGGTGTGGGTGGGAGCCGCCCAGGACTTCACTAAAATGGAGCCGTTTCTTTTCTCTCTTTTTTTTTTTTTAACAGTGCGTGGATTTCTGCCAAGGACCTCCAGCCCGCCGAAACACTGTAGGCTGCTTGTTTGTCTGCTGTACCCCGTGGGCAGCCTCCTTTGTGCCGAGGAATTCTGAATTGGAAAGTCAGTCGTATGGGAGATTCCTGCCTCGTTTCGGGGTGGAGAGGGGAAGGTCTTAGTGGCACCAGATGGGTGTGCTGCGGATTGGACCTGAGACCTCCGTGTACCACCTTGGCTTTCCTCACCCCTTTAAAGCCCCCCCCCCCTCAAGTTCACCACAATGGAGGGAGTGCTATTGGTTCACAGTGTTCCTGGCCCAACTACAGCCGTACTCCCTAAAGTCTCTAATGTGCTATCTGTCAGGGAAGCTGACGCATCCAGAAGGGCTCTGGAGCCTCAGCTAGATGTGATAAGGCTTAACGTTTGGGAATCTGAAGCCTGGGAAAAGCTGATCTAATGGAGAAAGTTATGAGTGTGACGGAGCGAAGAGATAACGACCAAAGAAAGACTGGCTGTCCAAATTACTGCTGAAATTTTGAAGACAAGACCCGTCTTCATCATGAACTAGTTGAAAGTAGAAACATCCCAAGGTTAAGTGTTACAATAACATATATTGCTTCATGGTTATTTTCCTAACCAAGCACATTTGAACTTGAAGGGATCCATGTCTCCACTGTGGTTCAATCAGTCTTCTGACTGAGAGTTTAAAACGAGTACAGGCCCACATGAAATTATCCGCAGGGAGATTTATTGTACTGCAGTTCACATAGATCTTTTCATATTATGTGATGAAGGTGAATTTGAGTAGCTATGGCGCAGTAGCTACAGAAGCTTTATCTACTACAGCTGCAGAACTTTCTAGAGCTCGGCCTTTGAAAAGAGGAATATAAATGTTTTCAGCTTCAGTTTTTATGTCACCCAAAATGCCCAGCCACAATAACCCACTGAAGTAGCATTGTTGAGTATTTTCCATACCACTTGCCCTATGCAGGGTTGCAGGGATCTGGAGACTATCCTGGAAGCTACAGGCAGAATGTAGGGAATAACCCAGGACTGGGTGCCAACTCACAGGATTGCATTCATATCTTTGTGGGAACCATCCATTCATTTCTATGGGTACAAGAACATAAGAAATTTACAATTTTATTTTGCATGAGAAAACAGACTCAAGAAAAAAGGGAATATATATGCACTTAACATGTTTATTGAACATCTTGAACACGAGTTGGATGCATTCCATTTGCCACAGAAGTGCAATACCATGGACCCATATCAAAAAGCAAGATTTTTTGCTTAGCCGGACAACTTGTCGGATTTAAAGTACCTCAGTTTAAATGGTCTTTATCTTCGTTCATTTACAATTAGCTCGAACTACCGTAAATCCGACAAATAATCAGAATAATCATGAAATCCAAT